AAGAGAATCGTACTCGATTTGCAATTGTTTAAAGCACTCCTTCAGGTATTTTTTTTTTTTTTTTTTTCTTATTCGCTGGCATCAGCGGGAAATAAGGTTATCGAGTTAGGCACTTCCTCCATCCATCCCCTTCGATTGATTCGCTATCGCGAAATTGTCATACCCCCCCGCTCAGGAGGGAATCACTCTTAGTCGCTTCACTTTTTCAATATTCCGGACTGGCAACTTTACTCTCTTCCCGCCGACCGAATCATCTACAACATTTCACGGCTCGCAAATTACGTCCCGAAATTACCTCCTTCATTAACCTGGTGCCTGATTACTCAAGATAACTTGGACGCCTTCCACGCCCGGAAATTTATAACTTGAGTTAAAATCCACTAGAACCTTTTTTATACCGAGATGGATTTTAAACGGGATATACGAGATGTCGAATATACCTGGAGAAACGCAAGTTCTTTTCTTCCACTACACTTTTTAAGCATAAATAAAAAAATATATATATATTCTTATTTATATATATATATATATATAACCACACACAAAGAACTCGAATACGCGGAAGTATGCGCGTATTTTTTAATAAAGGATGCAGTGAGAGTCAAAAGTGAGTATACACCTTACAAATATGAGATTCGTATATTTACAGAGTATTAAGACCGAAGTAATAATATGATAGTACGTGATATTTGTGGTGTTTCAATCATATATATTTGCTATATTGATTTGTATTTCTATACACTTTATATTTTTTCAATTAATTTATATTTTTCCAACACAATTTACACAACATATGTATGAGTTTTTGAGTAAATTCCGTACTCTCAAGGTGTATGCTCACTTTTGACGTTAATTGTAAGTATATATTATCAGCACACTATCGTGAAAGTATTTTAAGTAACCGCGGGTTTTGAAAATATTTATTTGTTTGCATTATATTAGTCATTAGTTTTGCATTTTTTTTTTTATTCGTGCAAACAAAATATTATTTACGTGCAAATTTTGAAAGAGATTTTACAACGTTCAAAATAACACGCGAGGTAACAGAAGAACAACAATTTTAGGCTTTCACATTTTTTGCAAATTGAAATACGTTTGAATTTTTTTTTTTTTTAATGGTCGTTATGTATATGTATTAGTTTTTTGCACAGAATCAATTTTATTTTGTCTATAATTAATTATTTTTTTATTTTTGTAGTATTCACCTTTCATTATATATGTAACGAAATACTTTGTGAAGTTACAAAACTACAGATAAAACAAATCTATTTTGTTTCCACGTATAATACGCTAAGAAAAAGCCAGCTGCGCAAGAAATTCAATTAAAAAAAAACAAAAAAGCAACTCGATACGTGTATGAATGTACGTCCTACATAAGAGAACAAGAATAGAATAATCCGCGTATAGTCGGGCATACAAAACAGGCTGATAAAATGTGGTGAGAAAAGCGCGGAATACATAAAAAAAAAAAAAAAAAAATTGTCAGTTTCATTCTGATTCGTCGGAATTATTAATGTGTTCAAGTGCGGGATGTATATGTAAGGATAAACTCAAATCCCCACCTTAAAGTAATAATTAAAGACGCAACGCGGGGAGAGAGACAAACCCGAGTGAGATGAAAAAATTCACACGACCCCAGAGAAAAACTTACGTGCAACTTTTATAGGCGTGGAAAATAATTTGTCAGTGTGCACAGCACCGCGTTACGAGCGCGCAACGGTCATATTTCCGGAACAAAATTCGGTGAGAGTTCCACGTTTTGCACAACGGCAAAAGGATTTTTCCGCAAGTCCCCGAGCGTGTGCTTGTTGTTGCAAAGTAACAAATCGTCAGTCGTTTCTATATATATATATATATATATATATATATATATGTATATATATACCAAGTTCGAATTCAAAGATTGCCTAACAATTTAATTAGCGGCCACAGATGAATGAATGATTGAATGGATTACATTGGTTCTCTCTAGTTTCCTCAACATGTATACATATATATATATATATATATATATAGATAATGTATATGTATATACTCGATACAAACGGCGATCCCGTGCGGAATTCACTTGTAATTCATGCAAACATGCAACATTTCAATTTCGCATAAAATATTCCCTCTGTACGGGACGTAGAAGAGTGCAATGTTAATGTGCAAAGAGCAATTTGATTACCGAATTCCGGTAACGATTCAACCCCGACTCGATCACACAAACAACTAAATTTCATGATGGTTGATTAATTATGAACTATTCGTGTAAATATTAATAGGAAGAGAAGTTTATAGTCTTTACGTGTGAGAGAGAGAAAATCACTTTTTTTAAAAAACTTATCACGCGTTTTTGTTTCACGCACAGTCAATACGAAGTAAGACGCAAAACACTCGACTTGAATTGTATATGAATTATACATCTTCGTGAAGAAAAACAAAACATATTGTAGAATACGATATGTGTAGAATACGATATGTGTAGAATACAAGAAGAGAGGAAAAAAAGACGTGTGTGCGAGAACACTATATTAAAAATATTCATTCTCTTCGAACCACGCGGGCGGATCTCTTCTGTTCAACAAATCTGTCCAACAGACACTATCTATAAATCTTGGCAAAAATTTGAACGCGGAAAAGGTGGAAAATGGGACAATGTCTTTTCAGGACTTACAGGCTTCACTTAATTTAAGACGATCCGGTCTATCCTGATCTACGACAAAATCTTGTTAGTACATCTCTCGGCTAAAATTTCACGTTTTCGCAGCAGCGACGTTACAGAAGACAAACCGTACGCGAGTTAAATACTCATGTGAACGATATTAACAAGCGGAAAAATCGGAGAAACAGAAAGAAATCAAAATATTTTTAATACGTTCGGAATTAATGACTGATTGTATTGATATTTTAATTTGCTACGAAATTCAATTAATATGCCGATCAGCTGAAACTCATCAAAACGAGAAAGCGGAGACACACACACACGCGACGACATTCACGGCACGAGAATGCGCGATATTAAAAGTCACGTCTGTCCGCAATAATACATTTGCATATTTTGCACACTTTTTTCACATTTTTCTTTCTTTTTTTTTTTAACATTTATATTTATCACTAAGGCTACGCGCGCGGAAAATGGAATAAGATGTTTTGAAGAAATTGAATCGTCTTTGCATTCAAATCAAAAAAATCGTCTTCGTTCACTCCGATTTTCAATTAATACCAAGTACTCCGCGCGCGATCGTTCCAGCAGCGCCCGGTAAAAATGAACGTCCATGTCGCGCGGAGGGGGCGTACAAGGTGTGTCCAATAAGAGTTTCCGAACTTCTCGGAATGGAACATTGAAAATCTCTCACCGAAAAGATGTGATCGGGCGCAGTTATTTGTTGCTACAATGTTGTGCGCGAAAACGATGTTAGATATAAAAGTTCGGACAAAAAAAAACTATTATAAATATTTTATAATAACATTTTTTTCCGTTTCTTTTCTTAATATATACCTCGTGTTTCTCTTTTATAATTATCCGATCTCGTTAGCGTTTATTCCAGCAAGTTTTTACACAGCACGCTTCTTTGTAATATATTTTCTTTAATACGTCCGATCATTTTATATTTAAATAAATATTTCCTAGACAGGATCGAGATTCACAGAGTAATATATTTAATATATAAATTTTGTTTTTATAGCGCACAAATATGTCTTAATACCCTTAAATATAAAATTACATAATTTATTTTTGTTCTATTAAATAACAAATTTTAACTGTCAAATAATTAAAACTTGTTTTATATTACATAAAAGTTATGCATTATCGTGAACAATTAATATTGAAAATGACTAATTTGTTAATTATCTCTCACATAAGTACCTGATAAAATTGTGTTTCACAAATTCTTTGTAACATTTTACGAGAGTCTCTTTTTTGCAATTCAATCTTTAACAAAGTCATTATACTTTAATATGTCAACGTATCTATTTTTTGATTTCATACGCAGCCCCAGAAAACTGACCAAAGGGATGGCAAGCTTGTGTGTGTGAATATAAAGAATGCTTTCAGACAAAGGGCTTTTTCGCGAAAAGCGGTGTCACGGTGATAGCCGCCCGTACAATAGCATTCAATATAACGCGACGCTAAAATTAAATAACGCTCAATGGAAATTAAACAAATGACTATTTCGTTTCGGTTTTTTTTGGGGGGAGATTAATTTAACGTCAGAATAGCGAATTATTCATCGCCGATCGCGATCAAATGTAATTCGGATTTGACAAAACGTGATTTGAAACAATTGATTGACGTTCGCACCAATATCAATCTACGTTTCCTATCCGTTCTTTCGATTTATCTCTTTCATTCATTCGATCGTTGAGTAACTTCTCGGACACGCCTGGAAACCACTGTGGAATAATTCATGCGCGACGCGCGAAGGGATTAATTAATCGTGGGACGAGCGCGTTCTACGAACGACAGTCATAAGGACTGTCTCCGTGGGCCAAAAAAAAAAAAAAAAAAAAAAAAAAAAAAATAAAAGGGAGGAGACAAAGATATCAAAAAAAAAAAAAAAAAAAAAAAACAAAAAGCAAATCCCCCGGATTCGCGAGTTAAGCGGATTCGGCCGATCGGTCGTTCCGTCGGGCGTGTTCAATTAGCGAGAATCTCGGAAACGGGTACTCCACTGTGAAAATTACGCCGCGGGAAATCACGAAAATGTCTCTCCCTCGAGATGATAACGCGACGCGCTCGAGTGCAAGATAACTCGTCTGTCAAACGATCGCTGAAAATAACTTCCACTTGAATGAAGGAAAGAGGAGAGGAACTTATATCTCTGTGCTTATAACGCCGTTAAAAAAAAAGATCCACAGACCACGTCTGCGAGATCCACCGACACGAATCCGATCATACGTGACCATCGCACACGCGCGCCCACCGTGTTCTCGCGTGCGGCGGATTCCCTCCTGCGGGAATTCGCCGCGTTGACGCGCGCGTCTCATATCACGGGACAACCGGGACTTACGTGTCGCGGTACTACTTCAATGGATCGGATTGCTGGATCGCGGCTCCGCGCGCCGCCACGGGCGTCGCACAGTGTTGACATCGTGGCGATTAAATATATATATATATATATATATATATGTATATATATAACGATTCCTTTCGACACCAACTCCGGATCTCCGTCAATCTTATATTCCTTCGTATGTGTTTCTTGAAACTGCGTCGTCCACCCCGGCGATCCGTATCACTTCTCTCCGTCTATATATACTCGTTTATCGTTTCTTCGTTACCTCCCACCCACCTCTGTTGGAATTTAGAGCGTTTCGAGGTGCTCCGCCGACGACGACGTGCCGTTTCAGAGAGATTGTCACGCCGTCGATTTAATTAAAAACGACGTTAACGCGTCAAATGAGAAAGAGAGACAAGACAGACACAATAGATTTTCTCGGCACGTCGCGAGATGAAAGAAAAAAAAAAACAAGACGCGCGACGTCCACGGCGACGTGCACGGAAAAACGGACCGGAAATTGTGACGCGCGATTGCCTGTCAGGAGCGCGCGCGGGTTCGACGCCGATCTCGTCGAGAATTGCACTGACCGGTTCAGCCCTTTTCTCCGTGGCAGAGGGGTGGCGGCGTGAGAGAACGCGGTCCACGGAGAAGGGATGTGCAGAAGAGAAAGGAGGGTAGAGAGCGAGGGCGCGGTGGGGACGACGGTGCGGTCGGCGTGGGAGGACGGAGAAAAGCCGTGGGTGTGTGAAGGAGAGTCGGATGAGGGGAAGGATGAGGATATATACCTAGCAGCATCCACAGTGCTGAAAACCACCGTGGTACATTTCGCGGAGCTCTCTCACGAGGGACGGCGAGCAGTGGCGGCGGAAGCCGTGACGGAGGTTAGGGGGAACGAAGTAAAGAGAGAAAAAAGGATAGAGAGAGAGAGAGAGAGAGAGAAGAGAGGGGAACGAGATGGAGCCGGTGGCCTCTAGGAAATTAAAACAAAAAGTATAGGGAAGCACATCGTGTCGCTGGAAACGGACTCGTACACACGCCGACGCGTTCCGCTTCGTCTCTCCCTCTCGCGCTTCACGTCCGTCTTTCTTCCGTTGCAGTTTCGCATTCTCTCTTCTTCGTCGGACAGAGTCACTATTATTTCTCTTTATCGTTTATTACGAGTGATACGTTGCCCGCCAACACTCTTGTCGTCAAAAAAAAAAAAAAAAAAAGAAAAAGAAAAAAACGGCAAGAAGATGCGCCGGTTTTTTTTCAGCCGCTGAATTCTCTCTCCTGTTCGAGTTTCTTCTAAGATTTCATTTTTGCGACGCCGCTGTCGCGAAGAAGTTGAAATTTCAGATGGGAAACGGTTTGATTTAGAAACCGATCGAGTGATATGCCGCTATTCGATATTACGTGCAACTATTTTCTGTGTTTCTTATTGCGTGTCTTTTCTTGTCTATTTTGTTCAATAAATTTGTAAAAATTTTTACAAATTTATAATAAAATAGACAAGACACATTTTTACAAATTTATTGAACAAAATAGACAAGACACGCAATAAGAAACACAGAAAATAGTTGTAGTCTTGTCTATTTTGTTCAATAAATTTTTAGCGCAGTTATGGTATATTTAACAATATACTATTCTGCGCCACAAATTTATTGAACAAAATAGACAAGACACGCAATAAGAAATACAGAAAATAGTTGCACGTAATATCGAATAGCGGCATATCACTCGATCGGTTTTTAAATCAAACCGTTTCCCATCTGAAATTTCAACTTCTTTGCGACATAATATTATTGTTTGTTATTTTATCTATTTGTTAATTTTTTAATTTGTTCATATATTATTGCTTACGTGAACACACATTCGCAACAACTCTGAAGAATCGACTGAAGATTCCGGAAATAACACGTATCTGTCGAAAATGTACTTTCTCTCGGTATCGTTTTCTGATAATCCATTAAATACGAGAACGAAAGGTGAGAAATGAGCAAGATTCAATTTCAAATTATTGCTACGTATTAATTTTTCACGTTAATCGCCGGTTCGTTCGTACACGAGTTTGCACTATAGTGTGCACCTTCGTAACATAATACAAATGTGCGCATTGTTTATTTATATATATATATACATATATTTTATATATATACATATATATACATAAACGTATTACATATACAATTTGCCTGAACCTTAGCATATGCATTATATAGATATATTTAAACCGCTAAACGTAAAATTAAATAAATTGTACATCAAAATATTGCAACGACCATATTATCGTTACTACAGTACGACGTAGTAATGGTCATATGAGAATGCGCCTTTAGCCACCTTCATACATTACGATTAAACTGAATAAACGAAACGTGTTGCAACACGCGAGACTGCCACGCCGTCATGAAACAGACGTCATGACGCACTAATGGACCTCTAGCGCGCGCGCATTATTTCATTTCACGTCACTTCGCCACTTCGTTCCCGGCGTAATGTACACTTTCTTTCTATTGTCTTGTCCGGCAAACTTCTCGACTGGGAAGCACAAAGTTCAAGGGTGGAAAAATTCGTTCTCACAAGCGGAGCTGTCTTCGCTCATACATCTTTTGAGAATTTTTCCCGTGCGGTCCGTACACACAACGCGCAACAGAGAATCTTACATACGCCGAGATAAATCGAGTTTCGGAGAGGCGTAAGAAGGGGAAGAGACAAAATCTTATTGAGGATATAGGTGTGTGCTTAGCGGACGAGGAGTGATTTATCCGCTATTTTTCACGTGATTTATCTGCCCATTCTTTAATCCTTTTCCGACTGGCTCGCTCGTTGTGCTGGTGTGAGCAACTTCCACTGTCTTCTTTTTTTTTTTTTTTTTTTTTTTTTTATACAGGCTTCAAACTATTTTTTTTTCTTTTGCATCCCCGCGCGCCACCCTTTGTGCCAGGCGGCGAGGTTCTTTGCGCGCGCGTTCGTGATAAATCGAAGTCGCGAGAGTGGAAGCGAAAGGAACAGGGAGAAAACGAGAGCGGATAGCCCGCCTTATTGCGGACGTATAAACGCTCAGGACGTGCGCGACTCTTCCGCCATTTCTCGCGAGACTTTTCCATCGTCTTTTTAATTCTTCCGCTGACTGTTCGGGAAATAAAATCGAATCGGGAACGACGCTCATACGAGCTAACCAGGCGGATTTTATCGCGCGCCGCACGCTTCAGCGAAGATTTTGTGCGTGCCGTAAACTGTGCTCAGTCCGTTCGCGTGCATTTTCTCTTCGCGCGATAGTGCAATTTGATAGCTTTGCAAAAAAAAAAAAGAATGTGAAGATATGGTACATATGTAAAAAGAATTTCAATTTCTACAAATTCCTTCCATTCTTATTGCCAATATTCCCTCGCCGGTTTTAAATCTCAGCTATGTGTATTTTTTTACACGTACAAACTAATATACAATTTAGCGAATACAAATCAATAAATCAAATAAGTAAAAAATTCATTTGTGTGAGATGCAAAAGATGTAAAGAAAGAATATGTATATGCATATTTTTAATAATTAATAAAGAAGTTTAAGCTCTTAAGTTTCAAACTAACAACGCGAAATTTACGACCGCGAAAACGGTCATGAGAGCCTTACGTTGGATGTTTGTTGCGGAATAAATATATATATATATATATATATATATATATATATATATATATGTTTCTTTCTGTGAAAATTTTTACACATGAGTTTGAATTAAAATTTCAATTCTTAAATTCATTTAGGATGCTATACTTGTGCATCACGTATACGAGAAATCCTCGTTTTATCCCTGTATTTAATTTTAAAATATTGCGTAAAAAACACCTCTTCCAGGGGTCAAACCTGGTATCTTACCGTACCATGAATATGTGCATATATATATATATATATATACATATATATTTATTCCGCAGCAAACATCCAGCGTAAGGCTCTCATGAGCTTTTAAATTTCGCGTTGTTAGTTTCATATTTTTAATCTTCACAATTCTTTTAATATTTGATTTTTATAATCCGATACAGATGAAAATGTCACCTCAATGCGTGTACTATCCATATATGCTTACGTAAATTACTTGGAGAAAAGACCGTGTTGAGTGAGATTCAAGTCTGTGTGTATTCGAGAAACGAGCTGGTTTACAGACAGGGAAATGCGAAACAATTCACGTCCTTTTTTATCGGTTAATCTACCCCTCGCTTTAATTCCGCCGGGTACGACAGCGTGCACGTTCCGCCCAATGAGAATCTCTTATTTACGCACGTCACGCTTGACTTTTTATTTTTACATCAAAAATTTCTCCCCTTCTTTTATACTTATATCGTCACGGAGGATTTTGCTACCGTGCGAAAGATAACGGAGGTGCCGGCTTACGTGTGAGAAGAGAGGGGTGCTCTCTCTTATTGCAGATAGTCGGGGTGCTTAGTGGACGAGCGCGATTTATCCGCTCTTTCCGCCGAGATTTATCCGCCCTTTCTTTAACAACCCTCATCTTCTTCTTCTTCTGCTTCCTTCTGCTCCCCCCTCCGTCCCTCGAGTCTCTTCGCCCATCGTCGATGGCGCAATACGTCCGACGCGATAAGTGAGTACGCGGTCCGATAGTAATAAGTTCTCGGAAGTCTTTTTCCAACGGAGGAAGTCGATTCGAACTCGCGAAACTTCTTCCGCGCGCATCTTATTAACGCGCCGCGTTGCTTTCTTCATCTCGTATAAGACACCGAAAAGCGCGAGACGCGCCTTCCAACGGAGTCACGACGCGCGCAGATGTTCCTCGCAATTATCCCGACAGGATGCTTTAAATTCTCACCGAATTACCGGACCGTGTTTCATGTCACACGCGGAAACAGCCCCGTCTTTCCTTCTCCTCTGTCTCTCTCTCTCTCTCATTTTCTGTGTATTCGCTCGAAGGACACGAAACCATTGTCGGATCTTTCGATTAAGCGCCACGAGTCTTTACCCGCGCTTGTGTGTGTGAAAACAAAAAAATCAAATTTTTAAATCACATCCCTCGCAGAACTCAGAGATCATCAAACAGTTC